CTTAGTAGAATCATAGGCCAGTCTCATCGTCCTTATATCATTCCAGTTCTCATTACCATAATGTTACCATGATGTTGTTACTAGCACTTAATTAAATGCCCTCTCGAACAGCCAGGTTTTAAGGCTTTTTCGAAAGGACATGAGGGAGGGCGCCTGTCTAATGTTTGCCGGGAGAGTGTTCCACAGCCGGGGAGCCACCACCGAGAAGGCCCTCTCCCTCGTCCCCGCCAGCCGTGCCTGTGATGCTGGCGGGACCGAGAGAAGGGCCTCCCCAGACGATCTCAAGGTCCTCGTGGGCTCGTAGGCCAAGATGCGGTCAGCAAGGTATTTTGGGCCGGAACCGTTTAGGGCTTTAAAGGCCAAAACCAGCACCTTGAATTGGGTCCGGTAGCAGATCGGCAGCCAGTGGAGCTGGGACAACAAGGGCGTTGTGTGCTCCCTGCCACCCGCTCCAGTTAATAACATGGCTGCCGCACGCTGAACCAGCTGAAGCTTCCGGGCCGTCTTCAAGGGCAGCCCCACGTAGAGAGCGTTGCAGTAGTCCAAGCGGGATGTGACAAGAGCGTGTACCACCGTGGCCAAGTCAGACTTCCCGAGATACGGGCGCAGCTGGCGCACGAGCCTGAGCTGTGCAAATGCTCCCCTGGTCACCGCTGAAACCTGGGGATCCAGGCTCAACGATGAGTCCAAGGTCACACCCAAGCTGCGAACCTGCGCCTTCAAGGGGAGTGCGACCCCGTCCAGCACAGGCTGTAACCCTATATCCCGTTCGGCCTTACGACTGACCAGGAGTACCTCTGTCTTGTCTGGATTTAATTTCAGTTTGTTCGCCCTCATCCAGACCGTCACAGCGGCCAGGCACCGGTTCAGGACCTCGACAGCCTCCTTAGTAGCAGGTGGAAAGGAGTGACAGAGTTGGACATCATCTGCGTACAGATGACACCGTACCCCGAAACTCCGGATGATCTCACCCAGCGGCTTCATGTAGATGTTAAACAGCATGGGGGACAGTATGGAACCCTGAGGCACCCCACAAGTCAAAGGTTGTGGTGCGGAACAGGAGTCCCCCAATGACACCTTCTGGGTGCGACCCTCCAGAAATGACCGGAGCCACTGCAAAGCAATGCCTCCAAGACCCATTTCCGCAAGGCGCCCCAGAAGGATACCGTGGTCGACGGTATCGAAGGCCGCTGAGAGGTCCAGGAGCACCAACAGGGACACACTCCCCCTGTCTAGCTCCCGGCGCAGATCATCCACTAAGGCGACCAAGACCGTCTCGGTTCCATGTCCCGGTCTGAAACCAGACTGTGCCGGATCCAGATAATCCGTGTCTCTCAAGAATACCTGGAGTTGTGAGGCCACCACGCTTTCCATGACTTTGCCCAAAAAGGGGAGATTGGAAACAGGCCGAAAGTTGTCAATTTAGTGGGGTCCAGTGATGGTTTCTTCAACAGCGGCTTTATGATAGCCTGTTTTAGGCTCGCTGGAATCTTGCCTTCCCGAAGGGAGGCATTCACCACCACTGTTACCCACTCAGCCAATCCCCTCTGGCCTCTCTCAGAAGCCAGGATGGGCAGGGGTCTAGGATGGACGTGGTGGGCCTCATTCCTCCAAGTATCTTGTCCACATCCTCGGGTTTCACAAACTGAAAAGAATCCAACAAAATGGGACAAGCAGGTGCTCTCGTTACATCCACAGAGTCTGCATCTAACGCGGCGTCCAGCCCAGAACGGATCAAGGCGACTTTGTCTGCGAAGAACCGAGCAAATGCTTCACAGCGCGCGACCGAATTGTCAGGGCTCCCACCTACAGGCGGGAGTTAAAAGACCTCTGACAATCCGAAACAACTCCGCCGGACGGTTCCTTGCAGACGCAATAGTAGCCGCAAAGAAAGTTTTCTTTGCGGCTTTTATTGCCGCGGCATATGCCCTTAAAAAGGACACAAACCGTGCTCGATTTGACTCGCTCGGTCCGAACGCCACACGCTCTCTAGTTCCCTCTTCCTTCGCTTCATCACTGCCAGCTCCTCAGTAAACCAAGGAGCTGGTTTAGCTCGGCTACTTGAGAGGGGACGTTCCGGAGCAATCATGTCAATAGCCCTGGCCATCTCCCCATTCCAGAGAGCGACCAAGGCTTCGACATGGTCACCTACCGAGGTGGCGGGAAAATCCCCAAGAGCCGTCAGGAATCCATTCGGATCCATAAGCCTCCTGGGGCGGACCATCTTAATGGGTCCTCCACCTTTGCAGAGGTTAGGGGGCGCAGTGAGCCTAAATCTGATCAGGAAGTGGTCGGTCCATGGCAACGGAGAGATGGACAACTCCTCCACACCGCCACCCTGTTCCCATCCCTGGCAGAAAACCAAGTCCAATGTGTGTCCAGCACAGTGGGTGGGGCCAGATATTTGTTGGGACAGCCCCATGGTTGCCATGGCAGACATGAAGTCCTGAGCCGCGCCTGTGAGGGTCGACTCGGCATGGACATTGAAGTCTCCCAGCACAAGAAGCCGTTGAGACTTCAACGCCAGGCTCGAGACCACCCCCGCTAGCTCAGGTAGGGAGACTGTAGTGCAGCGAGGTGGACGGTACACTACTAGAATCCCTATGCTGTCCCGGTCACCCACCCTCAGGTAGACGCTTTCAAAATTTGCGGTCTGCGGGATGGGGCACCTGGTCAGATGGATGGAATCCCTATAGACCACTGCGACCCCGCCTCCCCGCCCTCCGGATCTCGGTTGGTGCTGCACGGAGAACCCTGGAGGACAAAGCTGGGTCAGATTTACTCCTCCAGCTTCATCCAACCAGGTCTCCGTGATGCACGCCAGATCTGCCCGCTCGTCCAAGATTAAGTCCTGGATCCAGGCCGTTTTTCCGTTGACAGATCTGGCGTTCAACAGCACCACCTTCAGTCCAGAGGGTCCGCTCACCTGGTTACACCAATTTACCTTAGGAGACCGAGTTGGAATTGTTAATATAATGGTCCGAATTTGGCCGAATTTGAGGTCTCCTTTTCCCGCATCTCCTCCTTCCCACCACGACCTCTATGGGGGCCCCTCGGCTAGTGGAACACCTCCCCTCCTCCATGCCGCTATTCCTGGCTAGGGTCTTAACCACAATTTCACCAGCTGTTTGGAAGGTTGGTAATTTGTCTTGCCCGTTGTGCTGGCCTTCTTCAACGCCCCTCCCCCCCTCATAATTTCCCACAGGCTCCAACCCACTGCCTCCCCTGCCCCTTCCACCAGATAATGATAACAGAGACAGTACGCATAGGAGGGTGGGGAACCACATGGATGGAAATGGCTACTTCAGTAAATAAAGGATGTCGGAGGCAGCGTTAGCCGCGAAATAGAGAGATCTCCGAGTACTCGAGTCTTAAAGTGCAAAGTGCAAAGTACCTTCCGCGGCTACCAGGTAGTTCCTAAGAGGTAAGATCTTAAAGTGCAACAAGATATTAAAGTGCAAACAGCCTCAACAGAAGAATGTTTGGCCCTCTATACTACTAAAGTGCGGCAGGAGGAGTTGGGTGGGGGTAAAGTGCAAAACAATTAGTAAAGTGCAAACAGTTGGCTATGGGGCAGGCGCCGCTAAGCGCTATATTATGTTCTTATTACTATATTAGTAACAGAAGTAGTAGGACGGACTGTGCCAAGCAATGTTCAAGAATACACAGTAGTCGGAGAACTGGCAGTTAGTACAGTGCTATGATTCAGATGTAAATAACAGACGTTTGATGTAAATTAGCGGATGGACCTCCGGTTAAAAAGTCCTGGTAATCAGTCAGCCCCGGCCTGTTAAAGGTAGTCTTCCAGAGACAAACTTGCCGGCACAAGAAGCTGGGAAATGTAGTCAGTTCGCCAGATGATGATAATGCAAATTCGGTCAACACAACTCGGTCAGCACAAACAGTCAGCCAGATAGTGCAACACAGCTCGGTCAACACAGTCAATCAGCCAGATGGTAACAAAACAGCTCATCAACACAGGGCCGACTCAAGCTGGAGCCGATGAGGGCCTAACTGAACCAGCAAAGGCCGGTACGATGGAAGGCCAGCCTTTCTCGAACCACAAGCGCCGCCAGACCCCCGGGGAAGGGGGGGTCATGGAGGGCGCCGGGACGCCGGGAGATGTCAGAGCCGCGTCTACGAGCACCTCGCCGTAGTCGGCTGCGTGGCAGGCCGAACCGCACCCTAGGTCTCGGCTACGATGAATGGGAGGATCGTGGATCGTGGCCCACCTCCCCTGGGGGACCAGACGCGGAACGCCGAGGCCGCAGGCAGCCCTGAGTTCTCCAGCAATGGCGGCCAAGGACTTCCGGCGCGGTGGAGAATGGCGGCCGGAGCTTCCGGCAAGATGGAAAAAATGCCGGCGCAATGGCAAACAGGCCCCCCAAGGACACCACGAGAAGGGCCGGCTCCCCAAGCCAAACCAGCACCCTCGGAATCACCGGCGCGCCCGCGGGCCGAGGCGCCGAATGGCCGGTGCTCGGCCGAAGACACTCCCCCGACGGCCGCCCAGTCCTCCAAGCAATGGCGGCCAACACCTCCAGCAGAAGAGCAAAGGAGACGCCGACGCCAGCGCCGAGGGCGGGGGGCAGACGCACCACCAGGCGCCGGAGAGGTGGACAGCAACGGAGCAGCCGAAGACAGAGCAGCAGCAACAGCACGGCAGGCCGAAGCAGACCGAAGCGCGGCAGGCCGGAGCGCCAGGCGGAGGCCGACGGCAACAACAGCTGGCAGCGGAGTCCGAGCAGTCACGGGAAAAGCGATGAGTCAGCCCACTGGCAAGCTGTAAGTCCAGCCATGGGGCAATCAGTGATTTAGATGGTAATTTAGATGGTCAGCATTAACAGCCCGGTGGCCGAGGGGAACGCTCTTGCTAGGCCACGATGGAAATAGCCACCGCGTTCTACCACTCTTTTTCTCCCTCTTAGCTCCCCTTCTTCGATGGAACCCACAAAATGACCACCCCGAGGGCTCCTTCGAGTCCCCGGGTAGCCAATGGGCTAGTTGGTGAACGGGGGAGCTCCGGATGGAAAAGCTTGGGAGTAGATTGAGAATCTCACCAGGCCGCTCCGCAGGTCAGCTGCAACTCCCACGCAGGCAGAATATGTGATGGCTCCAACGCTGATAAGCGTCTGCTTGAAGAAAAATGCCTTTTCGGGAGCATTCTCGCTTGCTTCTGTTTCAGAATAATTCCCATTTGCCAAGGTGAACCCACCAATGTACGAATGGAAAAGGTACTGTGAAATAAATGTTTGGGTATTTCCTCTGTGTAGTAATGAAGTAGCAATGACCAGTGGAGCAATAATGGGCAGGAAAGCTGGTGGCCTAAATACAGCAGGAATAGTATCACCACTGCCAGAGTGTACAGAGGACAGACTTAGTTGCCAAGCTTCTTTTACCTTTTTGTCCTGTAAGGACTCTGTAGCCTTTTCTCCTTTGTTCAATAAAAGTATTCTGGAATTGTCAATTTTCTCCTGTATTCAAAATAAGCACTTTGGATGCAAGTAAGAGTAATGGATCCAAGAGGTCTGCCCATTGACGAAATCTTTGGAAAAAAGTTTTGCCTTCGCTCCTCCAGAACTCCAGATTCAAATCCATGGGGATGGCTCTGCCGGAAAGCGCCTGGTCCGGAAGAGGACCAGGTTGGCTTTAAGCCTATCTTTAAATCTCTTTTCCTGTCCATCAATGTTACATTTCCCATTCTTGAGTTGGGGATATAGTAACTGGTATTGTAACGGTGATTAAGCATTTGGACAATGTAGCCAGTCCAGCGGAGTTGATGCCGTTGATTGGATATTGCTTCCGACTTACAAAACTTCTGATTTTCTTACAAATTTTGATTCTTCCAAAGTTTCTTCACATACCTAATGGTTATCATGGTTTTCTATGAGGGAGCAGATGACAGCTAGTATATGGCGTATGTTCTGTATCTCAAAAACTAGAGCCGATGGGAGAAAACTGGTGCCATTTTTGGAATCAGCAGGTCAAATATACCCAGAAACAGGACTAACATTTGAGGCACCAAAATGTTTATGGGATAGTTTAATAATTCTATGTGTCCTTAAAAGGGATCTTTGAACAAAATCCGCAGCAATTGGCGCACAGAAACTAAATGGTTAACTGGAAAGCTTTTTCATGCAGGATTACAGAGATACATATTTAAAGACCTGAAACTCTTCCCTAGAGACTCTTTCCCATTCCATAGTAGCCAAAATAATGAAATCTGACCTGTAGCTTCCCTATGGCTGTTTCTTCCTTGCATAAACGTCTCCTGTTCAGATCATGCTTCATCAAGAAGGTCATCTGAGTCTCCTTGCTATGGGCCAATTGCACTGGAACAAAAAATCACCATTATCTCCAATCAACACATTTTCTTCATATTCAGCTCTCCCTGCAGTTCACAAGGGCCAGCCCAGAGCCAGTTTGCCTTCCCTCTAAGCAATCCAGCTTCCAAATGACAACAGGATATTTCTGACCTGTTGCCATTTCTGCATGCTGTTTTTGAAAGTATTTGCCAAGACTCCATGGGAATGCCTCTTTCCCATCATCCTTCAGTTTCACATTGGGCTGCACATCTAGTAAGACCCTAGATCAGGGGTCCTCAAACTTTTAAAGCCGAGGGTTGGTTTAGAATCCCTCAAACTGTTGGAGACGGACTATAGTTGGAAAAAATGAACAAATTCCAACACAGAACTGCACATGTCTTATTTGTAGTGGGAAAAAATCCATGAAAGCACAATATAGTGATAACTTGACTTAAGAGTTTAGTTTATTCCATGACTGTGCTCTCAAAGCAAATTTTCACATTGATATGTATAATAAAATCAGAGTATTATAACTCAGAATATATCCCACGGATGTACACTGATATAATGGAATATGATTCTTGGCACGGAGCATTTATATGTGCATGAGATAACGTGTATGTACTTTGGTAGATTTGCTGCCACCACCTAATTTACTTTAGGATATTTGAGATGATTCTCCTGAGGTAAACTTCTTCCTGCCCACCAGCTCTCCCTTAGCTCCTTAAGATGACTGTGATGTAAAGATGTTAAAACAGATAGAAATATTCTCATAGGAATGAATTACTACTGAGGCTTCTTTAAAAGTTGAACTAGAGAAAATGTTTATTGATAAAATTGAACAAACAACTATCTTCTTTAATGAGGCATACATGCTTGAATGGTTACTGTGGCACAATAATCTTGATGGTTACTTAAAACAGGTTACTTCACTTAGATTTGAGTAAAACTCCTCACTCTACAATAATACAGTAGCAGTGAGTTCCCCAGACTAACCTAAACAGGTTGTCCCTAGAGCAATTAGCTACACTCTCAGCAGAGTCCTCTGTAAGCTAATCTACTCCAACCCAGAGAGCAAACCACTTGTGTAAAAACCCACACAAGCACCCAGGCAACTACTTTGACCTCCCTGGCCAAATAATGCAGCCTTACCTGTCACAAATGCTCTCTTGACAGAAAAAATCTAAGTTCCCAAACATACCTCTCCTCTCTTCTGTTCCCAAAACTCATCTCTCTGCTCTCTGTCAAGCTGACACTTTTCCCTCTCAGCACTAAACTCCTCCCATCTGTCCTAACCAATCAAAACAGAGCTTCAGCTCCTCCCCTCTTCTCCTTTTACACTCGCAAGATGTCTGCTTCCTTTGCTAACACTCTCAACATGGAGTTCTGCCTACTGATATTCCAGGTTTCTCTTTCAGCCTACAAGGTAAGAATCATTACAATATGTCAATAATAATAATAATAATAATAATCTTTATACCCCGCCTCCATCTCCCCGACGGAGATTTGGGGTGGCTTACATGAGGCCAAGTCCAAAAACATATACATAAAGAAAAATAAAAACCAAAACACCCACAACAACAACACAGTAAAATGCATACAGTAAGCAATATAAAATACAATATAAAATCATTCTCAATCACAATGACGATGAGTGGGCCACATGTACAAGATAAAATATTAAAACTCGGGGTGAAATAGAAGTGGGGTGGAGCAAAGTTATTTGTATGGGAGACAACATAAAGAACCAGGGTCATCCAAAACAGGCCATCATACGGGAGGGGGGACTGTATTTTAGGGACAAAAACTTTGAGGGGGAGCAACAAAGTACAGTTTTATGGCTACTCTCCAAAAGCTCAAGGGAAAAGCTAGACCCCCAACACCTCCCCCATCACCAAAAAAATGGATCAAATGTGACCCAAGCTTACATAAAATTAGCAAACAGTAAACTTTCAGCATAAAGGCAACTGTAGAAGTAATTGGCATAGTAATAAACTACATCTTACTGTAGTAGGGAATCTGGTTGAAGGCAGACTGCAAGATTATGCCAATATACACCGGAAAAGGATTCTGCCTTCACCTAACTTGAGGAGAATGGGACATAGGGCTAGTCTTCTCATTTACTTTCCCACATAGGAGAGACTTCCTTTCTTGCAGCCTTGTCACACGCACCACCAGAATGGCCATAGATCACCACACATCGCAGCACCTGTCCAGGAGACGTGGGGACCTATTGCCCCGTGCCTCACGCCGTTCTGGCTTCCTCCCTCGCTCATCATATGGGAAAAGGCATCTGCCAGCTGGTTTGCCCCATTGAGGGCAATGCAACATGGGAAGCCAGTGGAGTTTTTCAGTGGCGTCTCCGGTTCCACCACAGTTTTGCCCCAGAGCCGCCCCAGAAGTACTTCTCCCATGTGTAGTGGGAGCCAGCAGGTTCCATGGCAAAGCTGTGGCACAACTGGAGTTACCACCAAAATTTGCCAAGTATGATGAAGTCATTACTCAATGTCCATGAAGAATTGCCATAGGTTCTCCCTGTAAGTGATTTCTCTGTGCCACCACCAGTTCTTTCGGCGAGATTTAAGGACCAGAAGGTAGAGATCATAGGATGCATATAGTGATCTATCAGGCAGACTAAGAGAGATGGAGGTGGAGGTAAGAGTCAAAGAATGGAGAATGGGCATCAAGGTGAAGGTATGAAACAAAAGTGGGAAAATAGTATTGGAGTAGAAGGGAATGACCCCTATACTTGAAGGAGTAATACCTGCAGTTTTATCTACTTCCATCTAAAAGATACGTTCTCTCAAAGAATTTTCTAGGTCTTCCAGGCAATTCTATGGTATGTTTCTGCTAGAAATTAGCATAGAATTGTGTTAGAGAACCTACTGTTGCAAATTCCTTGAGACAATATCATTCTAGGAATGTTCTAGGTCCTCCAGAGTGACTCTGTGACAAATTCGAGGAGAATTTGTTTATTTTAATAGATTTTGCTATTATCCATGATTTTCCGTTTTCACAATAAGCTAAGGAACATATCTTCTGTGGATAAGGGGACTGTACTGCACCAAGTGCTTTGCATACCTCCTTGTAAGAAAATAAAACACATTCAATAAACCACTGTGGCAATGAGAAGATGGCAGAGCAAGACAGAGCACCAGAATAACAACCAGAATAACAACCAGAATACGGCAGTTTGTCTATCCTTTTGGGTGGAGCCCACTGGCTCCCATCCCAAGACATAGAGCAACTTTTGGCAGGACTCTGTCACAAAAGTATAGACAAACCAGTTTATGCCACCACCGCAGTGACACAGGAGGCTCCCCATGTTGTCTTGGATCAACGGGGGTGAAGCTGAGCAGCTGATGCTTCCCCCCTCTCCCAATAGGATGGGGCGATGGGTAAGTCAGGTGATGCGGAGCATGGGCCAACAAGTTCCACAAAAACTTGGATGGGCACTGCCGGAATTGCCATGATGCCCATCTGATGAGGTAGTTAGTAGATATGGGCAATCCATGATTCTAAATAGTTCTCAAGTACTTACAAAACTAGGGGGTGCTGATGCTTTGCTTCTAAAGTGTTGCTAAATTTCTGGTGGTGAAAATTTCAGAAATCTAACAAAACATTCAAAATTTCATTATTATTTTGTTACTGGCAATTTTTATGACAGAAGCAATTAGGAACTCCCATTTATAATAACATTTTGAAAGTTTTGTTAAAGTTCTGGAATTTTCACCACCAGAATTTTAGCAACACAGTAGAAGTAAAGCACCAGCACCCCCTAGTTTTGTAAGTACTTTAGAACCATTGAGAACCACGTATTGCCCATGCCTATTAGTTAGCAATTGTGTGGAGTGGAAAAGGAAAGAAAGAAAGAAAGAAAGAAAGAAAGAAAGAAAGAAAGAAAGAAAGAAAGAAAGAAAGAAAGAAAGAAAGAAAGGCATTCAGGATGACTAAAATTATACAAATGAAATAGGACAGGTCTCATAATGTTCTGCCAGCGACCACTGCATATAACAATATGCTGATTCCGATTTGATTTCCAGAAGGTAGGTAGGATGGTTTCTGTGTTTATTTACAACATTTACAGTTTATTCAATAATACAGTGATGATGTTTTGGTTAGTTTGAAGAAGTGCACATTGAGCTAGTGACGTAAGACAGACTGAGGAAGATAGGCAACGGTTTAGTAGAGATTTAAATCTGTAGAGAGTCTAACGCTTTAACCACTAACACTCTCCCCCAAGTGTTAGTCTTCTGCAGTAAAACAACAAAGAGTTTATGGTACATTAAGCTTTTAGAGTCTCGCCAGATGCATACTATTATGC